TGAGATACCTTAACGATTGTAGCTACGAGAAAACTTTTCTAAGCAGATTTTCTCCAGTTAAAGTTCGGTTTGCACCAAACTAGTAAGAAAAGGAGATGACAGATGTGTTTTGTATAACTAATCAGATTTCCGAACTGAAGTTGAGCAAAGATTGGTTAACAAATCTTTCGTCTCCTCTCTTCTCCGCTTTGGTGGAAACTATACTAATATTGTATTTGTTTCTGTTATATTGATTTTTTTTTGTTTCAGCACCGGAATCTACACCTTCAGCACTAACATATTTCCACCATTTGCCCAGGGCTAGACCACATAAATCAGCATTGTGAAATAAAACGTTTCTTTATTATTTATTTGTGAAATAAAACTGAAGCATGTTTGTTTATTTTTTTTAAACTGTATCTATGTAAAAAATCTTTAACTAATTGAGTCTCAATGTTTTAATTTAAATTTGAAATATGTATGTATTGCACGCCATCTGCTTGGCAAATTGTAGCTGAACAATTTTACGTTTAAATTTAAGATCCATCAATGTATGATTATGTACCTACAATTGCAATAAACTAATTTGATTTGATTTGATTTGATTTGATTTGATTTGATTTGATTTGTATTATTGACGAATTCATTAATAAAGCAAACAGTGTTTTGAAAACACGAGCTAAGTACGTAATAATGAGAGTATGTATTTGGGACCCCGTTATTATTTATTTAATAAAGAATTTGAACCTGAATTAAGAAAAAAAGAAAAAAATATACTGTTTTTTCCTTACCTGATTTAAGAAACAAACCATTAAAAAACCAAACCTGTTTTATATTTACTCAGTAACTACGGCTAAAAATAATATAAATTAAAATATAACAATGTAGTTGGTTGATGCAAAGGACTATTTTATGTTGACATTTCTGCATGACAAGGAAAAAGCTTACAAATTAACAAAGGCAATTTGTCCTCTTCAAGAATTGCCTTGGTTTATTATAATCAACATTGAAATCTTTTTCAAAGGAGGTATATTCTTTGTAAATCTTATGTCGTTTTTATTTTGCATAAAGGGGCTTGATTTTATAATCTAAAATTACGTAAGTATGCACCAGTGCTACCTACAGAAAAAAAAAAACAATTTGTACTAGTGCCCGTATTCATGAACATTAGGTACTATGAGGTCTCACAGGGCGCGCGGACGCACAGGGTCACACACGGACCAATAACAGAGCTCTATTGAACGCTGTGCGTTCGATTTGCTGCTCGTTTGTGAATACGGGCGTAAATTTATTAGTCTTGCGGTAAGATATCTTGAACAAGAAAAAAGTTTTTATGAGATAAGGGCGAGCACGTGTGCCTCAGGTAAAAATCAACTTTGAAACTAATAAACCCAAAGTCCGTTTTTGCTTACCCGTCAGTTGCATTGCCCTATAAATGAGCGTTTGTTATCTTTTACTTAGTAATTCTGTGTAAAAGCCACGACGATGATGAACTGACTAGTTCTAGATTCTGGTCGGCCTCGGTGATTGTAAATACCAGCTTCCTGAACGAGCGTATTGCACCGGTTCTCGAAAGGAGATCGCCCTTAGCTTTTGTGATTACTTTCTATAAATACGATACTTTGCATTGTCAGGCATCAGTCGTTCACCGAACAACACAGACCACAATGTTCAAGCTGGTGGTGTTGAGTGCTATCTTCGCAGCGGCCGCGGCCGAGCCCGGTTTGCTCGCGCCAGCTTTCGGGGCGCCTCTTGCTTACTCCTCGGTGTACTCGCCAGGTGTCACCAGCATCTCGCAGCAGGCCAGCAGTGTTGTGCACCCCTCGCCTCCCCTAGTCTACTCGGCTCCAGTCGCGTATTCCCACTTCATCAAGAAACGATCAGCGCCTTTCGCCTATGTCGCCCCGACGACTTACCTCACGAATACGCGTATCGCTGCCGCACCCCTGGCGACCACCTACAGCGCGCCTGCCCTGCTCCACAGCGCACCAATTGTACCAGCAGCTCAACTGAGCTACGCCACGCACTTCATCAAGAAGAGGTCTGCTCCCTTGGTGCCGACTACCTACATTGCGCCGACCACATACGCAGCGGCCGCGCCACTTCTGACGTCGACCTACGCCGCCGCTCCCCTGGTGCACTCCGCTCCTCTGATCTCGCAGCCTATCACTTACTCCCATTTCATCAAGAAGCGATCAGCGCCTCTGTTCAACGCCTTCGTCGCCCCTTCCTCCTACTCGACCCAGTCCAGAGTCGACGTCCGCACCAGCCCTCTGATCTCCACCACCTACACTTCCCCGATCGCCTACTCTAGTCCTATTGCTTACACACACGTGTACTAAGCATTTGATTTGGAAGATAGACGTCTTAAACATACATTTTACAGTAAATCCACTCACATGCTCAAATAATGCCGATTGTACATACCTACACATAAGTTTGATTTTTAAATACCTACCAATGTCAATAAACAGATTTTGAATACGATATTAATTGTATTATTTACGTCATTTTCATTACTCTCATACAATATTCAATTGAATGGCAACCATATTTTGTTATTGCTTTAAAATCGATAGTAGGGTTTTAGGATCAACTCGTTTACCACCTCGTACATACTCGTAACTAATCTAATAATAATGTATTTCTATGCAACGTACCTTATCCTTTATGTACCATCTCGAGTTTTCTGCTTGGCTGAAAGGTTGATTAGGAGATAATGCCAAAGTACGAGTAATTAAGTTCGCCTTTTGTACTTTTTTATCCACAACGAGGAAGCTCTTGGCTTGTATTTCATTCTCACCTGATGGTACTCTGTAAAACGTGCCATAAAGTTTTTAATAAATATACTTAAGCAGGTATTTATTAGTAACAACAAAAATCATACAAACACGTCCAACAGCCAGCGCTACGTAAACTTACGTCACTCACTTTTTGAAAATACAAGTAGGTAAACATCAAACATGACGCTTCACTTTCCCGCCAAAAAGATCCTTAATTTTTACTTTTTTTTTTTTTTTTTTTTTNGCGCTTTTCCTAATTTTTACTTGACAATCAAGTACAATCAAAGACGATCGAATTAAAAAACAAAAGGTATGACATGAAAAATAAAAACAATTTTGTATGTGGCCAGTGGTACCACAGGTACGGAGATAGCGAGCGGCCTAAACGCACAAGCTGGTTTTTCAAGTTTTTGTGACATTTGAAGTAAATAATTATTGTATTGATTTTTAACTTATTCAACGACAGGCTAGGGTAAATAATTTTTTTCTTATAAGGTGACTTCAATTAGTGGGGGCCACGAGTCCAAAACCGGTCTCANTAATCCGTTTTGAATAACTAATCAGATTTCCGAACTGAAGTTGAGCAAAGATTGGTTAACAAATCTTTCGTCTCCTCTCTTCTCCGCTTTGATGGAAACTATACTAAGTAATATTGTATTTGTTTCTGTTATATTGATTTTTTTTTTGTTTCAGAACCGGAATCTACACCTTCAGCACAAACATATTTCCACCATTCGCCCAAGGCTAAGACCACATAAATCAGCATTGTGAAATAAAACGTTTCTTTATTACTTATTTATTTGTGAAATAAAACTGAAGCATGTTTGTTTATTTTTTGAAAACTGTAGATGTAAAAAATCTTTAACTAATTGAATCTCAATGTTTTAAATTAAATTTGAAATAAGTATTATTGACGAATTCATTAATAAACCAAACAGTGTTTTGAAAACACGAGCTAAGTACGTAATATTGAGAGTATGTATTTGGGACTCCGTTATTATTTATTTAATAAAGGATTTGAACCTGAATTAAAAAAAAGAAAAAATATACTGTTTTGTACAAACAAACATATGTCTACAGCTTAAGATGTTTGTGTTTTATATTTACTCAGTAACTTCGGCTAAAAATAATATAAATTAAAATACAACAATGTAGTTGGTTGATGCAAAGGAATATTTTATGTTGACATTTCTGCATAACAAGAAAAAAGCTTACAAATTAACAATAAAAATAAATAAATCTTTGGACAATTTCACACAGCGCCAGCTAGCCCCAAAGTAAGCAACTTAATGCTTGTGTTATGGGTGCTAGCTTAACGGATATACTACTTATATACTTTTTTTTTTTTAAATACATAAATATTATACATAGTCACACCCAGACCCGTCACAGAAATTAAAATTCATCATTTCAATTTCTGCCCGGCCGGGGATCGAACCCGGGACCTCTCGGCATAGTAGTCCGTTCTGAACCACTACACCAAACGGCCGACACAATGGCAATTTTGTCCTCTTCAAGAATTGCCTTGGTTTATTATCATCAAAATTGAAATCTTTTTCAAAGGAGGTATATTTTTTGTAAATCTTATGTCGTTTTTATTTTGCATAAAGGGGCTTGATTTTAAAATAATCTTAAATTACGTAAGTATGCACCAGTGCTACCTACAGAAAAAAAAAA